ATATCAAGGAGCTCTTTTTGAGCCTGGATCCATATTTATTTCTGATTCTGTTCATGGTGGAGAATCCTGCTTCACAGCAGCAGGTTGAGCCAAACATACTCTAAATGTGCAGGGTCATCTTTGAGCACACCATTTCACTTTTCTTTCACCAGTTCACCACAGTTCTTCCAGCTGCCCACACTTTCTTTCATGTTTTCTCATCATCGTTACCCATCATCCGCCTTGCCACAGGTTTGCCTGTTGTGTCTTAAAGTAGTTAGCAGCAGCAGCCCAGACTGACAGCTCATTGGTTAATTGGTTGGAGCGCTTTGCCGTACAAACAGGAGAAGCAGCGCAAGTGAAATCAGACACTGCCATCGGATAACGTGCAGTTATTTATTAATATTTTAAATCAGGTTGGTCCGGATTAGCCAGCAGGTTGGTCTGAATCCGGACTGCGTCCTCTAATCCATGACCTCTATACTGGGAGATTAATACAAATTAAGTCCTTAGAAAGCTTATTGTTTTTTCAATAAAGGCGAAAGTTAAGAAGAAAAACCTGATAATGGCAGCTCAATATACTTATGGATTCTTTTTTAAAGCCTTTTGGTTCGTTTTTAAACTAACTGCCCCAAGATTTACATCCATTCAGTGACCGGGCATTTTTTATATTTAAACTTAAGACCTTTTTATGCAAAGATACTTTTAAATACTTAGTACTGTGGAGTTTGATTCTGGTTGTCAAACTTCTTATCTAATCTATAATTTGTGCTTGATTATAATGGTAATCACTTTGGCCGTCTGATTGGCTGTTATAAAGTGCTATATATATCAATAAATGAAGGATCCAGAGATAATGTTAGTGTCTTGGTTGTTCAGGAAGGCACAGAATCCAGGTTTTTAGAAGTTTAGATAGAAGTTTCCAGTCGGGGATGATTTTAGGTGGTATATCATCCTCTGATGTTGGTCCAGATGTGTTTTATCCATGCAAAGCCAGCACAGACGTCTGCCAGGCTAATTCTTCTGTTTTTCTTTATTCCAGTTTTTAAGAAACTCTTAAATGTAATTGTGTGCAACTAATGTTTCTAATATTAGGGATACGTGATATTGGCGTTTTGCCTGATAACCAGTTTTTTGTACTCTTAGACCTGCTTTCAAAAGTTATGTAGTTCACCTGCATAGTTGTTGCAAATTGTTTTTACTTCAGCATGTCTTCTGTGCCCGACTCATGCATCAGTCAGGTGGTGCTGAAGGCATAAACTCACATCTTTGTCACAAAAACAGCAACTCATCTGCATCGTTACTGAATTTAGAGTCCGATATTTTTGAAAAAAGTATCTTTTCTCTCATTGTCTGATAAGCTTTCATGAAACACTGATGATAAACAATCATAATATTTGATCCATCCAGCTCAACCACCAACTGCTTTTCATTTATCATGCTCCATCTTTGCCACAATCCTGTGGTGCTTTAAAATATACATGGTCCATGGTGATCAAAATATACGATTAAAAAGTATTTTAAATAAGCACTGTAATTGCATACACAAAATAATATTTTATTTAGATACTATCTGCATTTCATAAAGTGGATACTTGTATTAATTTAGGCAATTTCTAAGCATATCTTTCCCAAATTTTTAATTTTCAAAACCTGTATTTTACTATATTCCAGATTTATTTTTTCCTTTTTTCCCAAATAAAACACACTTAGACTAATTTAATATATTAGGAGGACAAAAAGTTAAAGTGTTGTAATCCTAGAATGTCATTTAAGATGATAAAATAACTATTGTTATGGTAACAGGATTGGCTGGTGACACATTTATTTGTTGATTATATAATAATTGGGACAATAAAATACTAAGAATCACAAAATCTTTATGTAAGGAATTCATATACTGACTTAATTAGGGTAAAAGGGATGGCTCATATTTGACACCCAATATGTTGAAAGCTGAACATAGTAGGACTTCCATAAAATGAATGGATACATTCATTTAACATACAAATAAATATTATATTGCTGCTCATAGAAGGTCTTTATTTTAGAAGAAATGCAACCAGAATAAACTAATTATAGTTAAAGGATTGCAAATCAAAGCTAAAGTTTAAGGTTTTGACTGATATTGGCCATAGATGCTTATAGAAGTAAAACTATCAAATTAAAATCTGCCTTTTTTGTACAACAAATTTTAACCTCTCATTACCCACCGTTTTAAAGCGTTTACAAATTATAACTCAGAATGCATGAAAATTACACTGTTTACCAATATAGACATGTTAGACATCACTGGAAAGCTTAGATTCTCCACAATTCAACCACATAGTTCATTTTATGGACACAGATATAGCAGCATTTCAAAACGTACCATGACAAAGCAGCAACAACAAGCAAGCATGTCTTTATAACTGCTGTTCAAAAAAGACCTATTATTTTCGAGAATAAAAAAAGTTACTTTGAGTCTCGTTTGAACTGATGCAGCTTGGGTGTTTTACTCACCCAATTTCTATGTATATATTCAAAAACTAGAAGGAGTTAGCTTTCAAATAATGTATTGCATATGTAATTTGGGCTTGCAGTTCCTCAGTTATTTGCTTTTCCATTTGGGTTTGCAAAATAGGCAAATTTCCCAGAAATTAGGTGGAAGTTTAGAGGTTAAACAGTGAATTTCTTTAGCACCGAATTTTAAACACTGAATTTTTTTACACATTGAATTCATTACACTGAATTTTTATCTGGTGAAAAATCAGCTGCAAAAAAAAATCATTCAAAATTCGACTGCCAATGTGTGACCTTTCAATGCACTCAAGCTAAATCAATCTACACTCGATGCAGTCAGGAAGCTTCTAGCCAATGAAATTAGCTCATTCTGTCAGGGAAAAAAAAGACGTTTGCCACCTTCGGCTTCTTTTGGATCAAACCAACAGCCTTGGCAGACAGGGGTGCTGCACCTGCTGTCATCGGCTCAGTTATTTCACTCAGTCCGATTAGATGAAAAACTCTGAAAAAGCTACCTGATGTTTTGTAATAATATCTATTTAGCAAGAAAAACTCCTCATTCACCCAACTGTTTTGTCACGTGACCAAATGATCTCATTTCATTGGCTAGAAGCTGCTCGACATCGAGTGTCGTCCAAAAAGTCAACACATTTACAGTTCAATATTTTGCAGCTGAATTTTTTTGCAGGCAAATTTTCACCGGATAAAAATTCAGTGTAAGGAATTCAATGTGTAAAAAAATTCAGTGTTTAAAATTCTGTGTACAAAAAAAAGGCAGATTGCAAAGACTTCCATGGATGCTGCTACAGAATAAAGTCTGATAGTATTACGCCCTTTGAGGAGATCATGAGTAACAGGGTTGTGTTGCTATGAGGGAAAAATGCACTAATAAAAAAAAAAGATGCTTAATAAGAGGTTTATAGTAAAAAGGTTGCATATGTGTTGAGGAACACATTAGAGCAAGAGTGTAACTTTGTGATGAAAGTTGGTGGTGACGCTCTAAGGGTGGCGGCTGATGGACCTACAGTTACTCGACTCTAAAGCTTTCAATAGGGTTTGTATTTTCCAAAATTGAGCTCAAACTGGGCATCTCTGCTTAACTGCTGCCTCCACAACCCGGATAAAGTTGAAGAAAATGGATGGATGGATGAATTATGTCTTAGATTTGATTTGTAACTTAGTCATCATGACGAAAGGACAAGAAAAAAAGACTTTTATGGGATGTTCAGTAGCCTTAAAATCACTTTACTACAACTACAGTTATATTATGTGTGAAGGGCAACTTTAATTTACATAACAGGTTCATGTTTCTATATTTTGTTCATAGTTAATTTACATTTTTCAAGGTAAATTTCGAATGACTCACATATCAGTGACTTAAATCGGTTGAATGGCCAATGTCGGATATTTAGTTTTAAAGCCAGTGTTTGCAGATACCGATAATGTCGGGCATTTCTAATTGATTCTACATAATTGACATTTACCATTTATTCCATATATATATATCTATATACATATAGAATCAATAGATATTAGGGCTGAACAATTTTACCATAAATCTGAATTTTTTTTCAAATAAATTTGAACTAATATTGCGATTTTATTGCAGCTGCCCTTTACACTAAGCAAAAATATGTAGATGTTTCCTTTGAGAGTTTCAGTTTTTTTTCTAGTGTTTGGCCAGTGCCATTTTTTGGCCCCTTTACTATTGGCTGATACCGATACCATCTGTTTGAAATTGATGGGTATGTGTATATATTAAGAACTGCATACTACATAGATGTAAAATAATTACCATCATGGCTTCATTGAGCTGCTGTCTACCTTTGTGAAGCAGGAAAAAGACGAATACAAAGTGAATCCAGTTTTTATTGCCTATAAGGAATGAATAACAATAGTTGAATAAACTTTTGGTTATCCATTTGATATCGGTGCCCTTTTTGTTAATACTCGCCGATACCGATACCAACATTTTAGAGCTGGATCGGGGCCCCGCCCGATTCTGGTATCAGTGCAACACTAGTTTTTTCGCGACCTTGTTGCAGGACTTTAATGTCAACTTTGTGTGAGAAGGTTCCTACATCCTGCAACTGTCTCTTCCCTTCTGCATTATGGCAAAAAAAAAAATACTGCCATCTAAAAGGCAAACATTTATCTCACTCTTTTACATGTGATGTGACTAAAACTGAATGCCTCTACCATTTGGAAATTGGAATTTTGCAAATGCAATCAATTGCCCACCTACCGTAGATTTATAGATAAAATCAATTAAGGATGCACAATATATATTATCTGTTCATTTTAAAATTCAGTCTTGTATGTATTGTATAACTCAAAGCAATATAAATAAAGTTTTAAAATAACATTTCTAAGCTAAAATTTTTTGTCTACATATTTCATGTTTCTGAAGGACGTGTTATCGTACGTCTTAAGTGTATCACTATGGCCTTTTTTAAAAACATTATTAAAGGATAAAATGATGACGACTATAATTATTCGCCTCTATGGAATCTGTGTAGGTGATGACAAGGATGCGGCAGATGAAGACGATGAGGAGGGTCTCCGGCTGTCGCTGGATGGTCTGTGCTCCAGTGTGGGGAAAAAGGACCGGCTCACCCAGAGGGAGGATGTAGGCACCAAAGGTGAGAACAAAACACAGAAATCATTAATCACACCAGAGTATAACGCAATATTTCACCAAACAAGCACAGCTTTGATATGTTTTATTGGAATTTCAAATAAATGAAAATACTTCAATTTGAGGAAGGAAAAAAAAAATATTTTTCAATATTGATTGTAGCTTTTCCATTGCTCAAGACTTTAGCTCTTTAATCCCAGCAGCATGCTTTAGCAGCACCATGTTTGATTAGTTAATAAGAGTGATGATGATTAAGTATTAGCTTTCCACCATAAATAGTGTGTGTCTGATTCTTTCCGGCTCAAAAGGTAAGATTTTATGCCCTCATAGCGAAGGAAAACTGCAAATATAACAGGTTTGGTCCTGCAGGCAGTTGTGTTCAGCCAACAGCACAGCAAAAATGAACCAGTTTCATTCGGGAAAATTCACGTCAGAGTGGAAACCTCACCACCAAAATCTCCCAGATCAAACTTGAGGTCAGGGTAAATAGACATGATTTAGGAGGAGGAAGGAAAGGCTTGTTGTGGACTAATTTGAACAGAGAGGAAAAGGATGAATAGATGTTCAGATGTTACATACAGATGAAAACTTTTTTTGTTGATGCGTTTTACAGCCCAGAAGTGGAAGTGTGAGGTCTGCGACTCTCAGTTCGAGAGCAAACGTGGACTCTCCATCCACTCTCGCGCTCACCTGCGCCAGCTGGGCGTCACCGTCTCCGACAGCGGCTGGTCGGCCATCGATCTGCTCCACCGGGTGGCCATGGAACGCAGCATAGACGGCAAGATAAGCTCGTCTCTTCTCACGCCCAAGAAACCCTCCCTGCCTGTTTCCCTTAAAGATGAGGAGGACATGGAGCTGGACGAGAAACCCATCCCTCTGTCCATCCTGGCCAAAGCGGCAAAGGCGGTGCCGTCTGGCTCCGCCACGCCTACACCTTCTCCGGGTGCCTCTCCAGCTCCGGCTCACTCCAACTCGCCTTCCTCAGTAGTGAAGAAAGCCCCCATTTCATCTCTACTGCCCGTGTCTTCCCCTTTGCGCTCCCCAGAGCCCAAAGTTGGGGGACTGAAGGGCTTGACCTCTAACCTATCTGCTGCCTCTGCAACGTCAAAGCCACTTTGGGCTCCACAGGAGAACGATGCTCCCCTCAACCTCAGTAAGCATCATCTCTCTGGGATTGACTGGTGTTTAGTCTAATCGGTGTTAACTCAGTGGTTCCCTCTTGGTTTGCAGCACTGGATGCAGACTCCGATAAGGACATCGTTTGCCAGCTGTGCGGCGCCTGGTTCGAGACCCGTAAAGGCCTCTCTAGCCACGCCCGAGCCCACCTGCGACATTTCGGTGTGGAATACTCCGAGTCCAAGGGCTCTCCTATTGAACTCCTGAGCCAGCTGATGGACACGGACGACTTCAAGCACAAAGCAAGTGCGCTGGAGCTCAACTGTCCTACAGAAACGGAGGACGCCCCCGCCGCGCTTCCCACGGCGAAGCAGCCGGTGCTGACACTCTCCTCTTCTTCCTCTGCGTCACTCCTCTACAAGGTGACCACGGTCGGGGGTGGGTCCAAAGCTACCTCTTCCTCCGCTTCGTCCTTACCTGGCCGACCCGCCAAGCGGCTCAAGACTGCCTCCATGCAGGTCTTCCGCCTCAGCAGTGGCGAGCTGATGGCCCTTCCACACAGTAAGTGATGGTCGATGCAGAGATGTTCATGCCTCTGGTTGATTGACCAAACAAAAGTAGAGTAGAATTGTGAAACTGAAGGAAAAGTTTGGCTTTTCCGCAGTGTTCCGCCTGTGGTTTTCATTTTCTTTCGCTTTATGCTTTTGTTGGTCAGTTAAAAAAACAAAACAAAAAACTATGTTGTTTTACCCTTTAAGTCAGAACTCTCTTGTTTTCTTAGACGAACCTCCAAAGGAAATTGGCTGTGAATACTGCGGCGAGTATTTTGAGAACCGGAAAGGACTTTCCAGCCATGCCCGCTCCCACCTGCGCCAAATGGGGATAACGGAGTGGTCCGTCAACGGGTCGCCAATAGACACGTTAAGGGAGATCATCACGAGGCGGGGCCTGCCCTGCGCTCTTCCTCTTAAGCCTCTGAAAACCCCTCCGTCGTCCTCTCCGGGGCCCCCTCGCTCCCCTCTGTCCACTTCCTCGTCTCCCTCAGCCTCGCTCCTTGGCCGCCTGCCTTTTGCCTTCGCCCGCCCCTCCAGCCCGCCTCAGTCGGTGATGTCCAAGTCCAGCTCGGCCGCTCCGATGCCTTCCAGCGGCCTGACTCTCAAGCCAAAGCCCGAGCCGGTGCAGGTGGAGGTCACCGCGCCCGGACCTGTGGGGAGATCCAGAAGTTTTCCGGTTGACTCTCCGAACTCCAGCTGGAGCGGCTCTGATAAAGCTTACCCCCTCAACTTAGGTAACCCTAAAAAGATTCCTGTTGAATTTCTCCATATTACCCACCCGATGAATGTAGTAATGCAGTGTTTGTCTGGTCATTTCTCAGCCATGTCCCACGAAGCGGAGCCTACGAGGGACATTCGATGCGAGTTCTGCGGGGAATATTTCGAGAACCGCAAAGGTCTGTCCAGCCACGCGCGGTCCCATCTAAGGCAAATGGGCATCACGGAGTGGTCCGTCAACGGCTCGCCCATCGACACCCTGAGGGAGGTCATGCACAAGCGAGGGGCTGGCGGCTCGTCTCGCTCAGAGCAAGGAGTGAAGAAAGAGTCCCGCCAAGGAACCAGCAGTCCCTTATGGGAAAACGTGGGAGGAGCCAGGGGGTCGGACGGTTTGGGTGTTTCCGGTTACCAGTCCTCCAAATTCCGGAAATCTCCTCTCAGTTTGGTGCAGTCTGGGTCACGGATCCTTAAACAGGGGGTGAGCTCCGTGGGTCAACCTGCGGGGAAGCTGTTCCGATTGTCCCCACTGGGTAAAAGGCCGTCATCAGATCAGGCCCAGTCGGCTGAGACTGGGGCAGCACAGGCACATCGACTCAAGACCTTCTCATCACTTCCACACGATTTCTCCTACAAAAGGAAACCCTCGCCAGAAAAGCACGGACACCAGGGTGAGCGGCTGCTATACTCACATCGGGTCCTTTCACATCAAACAGATTCCTAAACTGAACATCAAATCTCTTCCTGTTTTCCAGACCCCAGCTGCGAGCTTTGCGGCTTCTACTTTGAGAACCGTAAGGCTTTAGCCAGCCATGCGCGCGCCCACCTGAGGCAGTTCGGTGTGACTGAGTGGTCTGTGAACGGGTCGCCTATCGAGACGCTCAGCGCTTGGATCCGCAGTAGACCTCAGAAGGTTCTGGAGATGCACCGGAACTACATGCAGGGGAACCGCTCCACTCAGAAGAAGGTAAGAGATGGAAAAATGAAAACGGTTTTGAAATTTTATTCCTCAGTTTTACTTTAGTGTTCATTGGTTTCCAGTATTAGCTTTATGTTTTTCATACTTTTTATGTACAGTATTATGTATTCATTAGTCGGGATAGCAGCAGAATTGTGAATACACTAAAAATAATTAGATCCAAAGCTTTTTTTCACTGAATCACAGTTTTATTGTCGTTTCATTTTACGGTTAAAATAGGCTTCAGTCATATCGTGTGCTATTCAGAGCTTTGACTGCATTTTTTTACTCCTTTACATTTTTAACAGGCAGTAAGCTTGACTTTGGTGACATTAAGTCATCTACCTTTAATCAACTTTTATTCTCCCTAAAAGCTAAAACACGTAATAAATATAAGACTATTTCTTATTTTGAAGTTCTGGTAACTGGAAATCAAACGGTTCAAAAAAACTAAGACTCAGTTGAAACTTTTGGATTAAAAAAGGTACTTAATCTTTTACTTATGACAAAGATCAATTTTACACAAATAGTTAGTTCATTTGAACCTACCCAACACTAGTATTTATGAGTATTTATGAATTGTGCGTAATAAAAACTCAAAACAAGGCGCCATTTTTAGAAACTGGTTCAGTTATAGCTGAGGGGAAAAGAATAAAACATTTCATATCAGTTTGAAAAGTTGAGAAAAATGAAAGCAAAGTGGCTTTATAAGTCATTTTAGAATGTTTTATTAGTTTTATAAAACACCATTCAGTTTCAGTTGGTTATATCTCTTTATTTCCTTATTTCAATCAGCAACACTTTTTTCTCTTTCTCTTTCAGTTTCAGTTTTTTTTATTAGTTTACGTTTTTGAAGGCCGATGCCGATATCAATTATTATGACATCAGTCTGATAGTTTTAGGTGAATTCTTGAAGCCAATATTAGTTTTTTTTTCCTCTGTTAAAGTTGTAGAGAAGTCATATTTAAATGTCAAATCATTCTGGCTTAAACATGTATATAAATGTACTCTTTATAAGATGATATTGTCCAAAAATTTAGAAAATTTCTATAAAAAAAAAATCCTGTCTTAAAATCTGTTTTTTCCCCCCTTTATCTTGTGCAGGCAGGTTAGTTATTTGTCAGCTTGAACACCTAATAACGGTCATCTGTCAATCAAATATTTTCGGTCATAGCATTTTGATTCATATGTCGCAGCTAATATACGCAACGGTTAAAATGAGAAATAAAAATCATTTCCTTTCCCATTGAGTTCCGTCCCAGTGTTCACGGGGATGGACGTCTGTGTCTTCAGCAGGCGTAGAGCTAACAGAACTGGCAGCGTTGCGAGCCAAGGGCTCAAACATGTACGGCTGTAAGCCTTCTACACCAAACCAAGCTTCTGCCGCCCTGGCGTCCTCTTCAACAACATCTTTGTCCCCCTCTTTCTTTCTCTAAATGAAAAATGTATGACGGAGGAGACTCATTCACGACCTCGGACACTAAACTCTCCTCCTCTTGCATGTTTCCTCTGTCCATAGCGTTCCTTGACAGTGTCGTTTCTAAGTCACCAATTTAGTGCTACTTGGTCCCAATGGAATTTCCCATTGGGAACCTACTAGCGCTAAGCTGCTAACTGGTTAGCAAGATGCTTCAAAGAAAACGTCCACAAACGGAAACAAACTTACTTGCGAACCTTCCCCCACAACAATCCCGCCCCCTTGATAAACGACTAATCACATTCACTTTATTCACTCGTGTAAAGTCGGGCACCACTTGGGAGAATTCAGAAATTAGCCGCTTCCCTACGACTTTAAAGGCTCTGTGTCTACACCTTGAAGCTTTCTCTCTCCAGTTATTTTTCTTAAAACAGATCACTCAAGACAAACTGTTTAAATAACACTTCATAACTTATATGTATGGTCATGGCAATAGATTTTGATAGAAATTATAATCTTATTCGGAGAAGTTGCTTAGAGTTACAGAAGGCAGCTGCTCACCTCCGGGCTCACTTCTTGGGAAGTGGCCACGATTAACAGTTAAAGAGGTTTTTTATATGTTCCCAGTCTGCCACATCATCACATCATTACATCACACATGTTAGCAGATGAGGAGACATCCATGGCTCCAGCCTTATCAAAATATTACACTTTGTTCTTAGCTGAAGGACACCCCTCTCATTCCTTTCCCAAATATTTGCCACATACAGAATGAAGATAACTGTATATCCGTACAGAGGGACTGTCTTTTAGATAAACTGTTGTGGAAAACATCAGATCTAACACGCAAAAGGCAGCTAATATTACGGCATAATAAACTCACACATCATCAATGTTAATTATCCCAATACTCAATTTGCATGATAAAAAAACCATGTGATAAACGTAACTGTTAAATGTTCTTCTAATCCGGGATCCCTTTGAAGAAAGGGTGCTTAAAGTGCAGCCCGTGTGCCATAATAAACATACTTGAAGTTTATTGATCTGACATTGGAGAAATTCACTTTCTGCATTTAACCCATCTCCTTGGGGAGCAATGGGCTGCCATTGTGCGGCACCCGAGGAGCAGTTAAGGGTCTTGTTCAGAGACCCAGAGTGGCAGTATGTGGGAGTCTGGATTCTAAGCTCTATGCCCTAACCACTAGGCCACTTCTCCTCTTTGAAGCAATGGTGCTCAAAGTGCTGCCCGTGGGACATTTATGGCACCATGAGCGATTAATGCAAAAACCCATTTAAGAAAAGTATTTGGTTGCACATGTATCCAAACCGAAAAAATCCAAAAACCTTCTTAAGACAAAACATTAAAGGAACAAGATATTTTGACCTTTTATGAGGCAAAATCCAAACATCTGTGGATTTACTCTTTATTTAAAGTTTGTAAAGCAAAGCGAGAGTGAGGCGTGTCCTCGTCGCTCAAAAACAAAGCAAAAAGTCAAAAATACAACAGTTATATTTCAAATCTACGATGATTTACACGTCTCTGTTCTACGGAAATTGGACTACTTTGCTGCTTATTAGTTCAGTCGACATTCTGACCCCCAATAAAAGTTTGGACGCCAACTTAAACTCAAGCCTAATTATCATCTGAGACAAAACGCCCCAAAAGATGTCCTTCATGCAGTCTCAGATGTATTCAGATTTTCTGAATAACAACATTCAGAAAATGCCGTGGAGAGAGAGAGGAGTGGAATCTGTTTTTCTTAAGTACTGAGTCAGGAGGGCTTGATCTCATAGGTTTCCGATGTTCCTGTAGAAAACATTTTTAAAAGCATGGATCGTTTTCCTTTCACAGCATATTTATGTGCTGCTCTGGGTTTTATCATGGAAAAAAGAACCCAGTGAAACACAACAAAGAACGGACAAATACGAAACCAAATAAGAAAAGAGACAAAATAAGAAATAAGATGTCCTTTGTAGAATTATAAATAAGACTTTTAAACAAAGATATAAGCGATAGCTTTGCTGTTATGTTGAACCAACCCCTCTCCTTCCTGTGTTTCTGAACGGTCTCCATGCTTTCAGATGAGTCAGGCCTCTGCTGGCAAGGCGACAGACATTTTGTGTCCTGGAAAGCTGCAGACGTGTCGTCTCGCGGCTCAGAGCCTTACTGTTGATCCTGTGTCTTTTACTCCGTGCATATAAAAAAAAAAAAATCACTGTGGGGACGGATGCCAGAACCACTCTGCCCTTCACTTGATAGTTACCATGGTAACCAGGGTCCCTGGCAGCTTATGTTTCATCTTCAGATAAATTATAGCGCGCTGTTGATGAAAGAAAATGTGTCATTTTTTCATGTCTGTCTGTCTGTGTGTGTGAGAGTGTTTTTTCTCTCTCTCTTGTTCTGAAATTACTTTCTGGTGCATTTGCGTCACTCCACACCTTCCCCCCCTGAGCTCTGATTTCCAGCATTTCTTTATTGTACTGGTATTATTCAACCATTCTATCAAAGTTGCAGCACGAGATGATTTGAAATAATATTTTAAACGTTCTATATTTAAAAACCTTTAAATTCTTCATGAAGGCTAACTGTATATGGCTGCATTCACAGGTGGTCAGTAGGATGATGTTAAGCATATGTTACAACATAATAAACTTATTTAATGATTAAAAAAGTGCTTTAAGTTGCTCTCTTCAGGCTGGTTAGACATTTCAGGGTGAGGTTGGGTGGAGCAGTGAGGAGTGTGATGTTGTCTGGCTAAGAATAGGAGTGAGAGATATGATGAAAGCCTTTTTCATTTAGTGGAACAGTAAGACCTGTGTTGGTTCCTTGATCTATGCCGCGCAGAGATATTAATTTCCCCTTTTCTGCATTTTTATTGTAATTTATTGGCATTTCATACAAAAGACCAACAACACATAGAGGGAAAATTAATCTTTTGGGTATTTATCTACTGATGTTTTTACTTGTTTGGTTTTCTTGTGTCCAATTTTCTTTGCAAAATGGTCGAGCTTAGTGAGATCGGACAGGACCGTTCCAGCTCATGAATGCTATCTGATCTAGGGATACAACTAATTATTATTTTGGAAGTCGATTAATCAGTCCATTATTTTGTTGTTTAACTGATTCATAATTGGATATCAAAAGGTTCCTTAAAGAAGACCTTTTATGAATTTAACCAAGTGAAACTAAGCCTTTTCCACTTGAGCAGTTCTGGAGTTTTGTTTTCATCTTAAATGCAACATGTTTCCATATATATTTTTACAATTGTTGGTCTTAAGTGGGTTGCTCTGTCAGCTACACTCCAGTTAACGATTAATCGATTACTAAATTAGTTGATGATTATTTCAATAATGGATTAATCACGATTAATTATTGCTGTCATAATCTGATCCAAACCCTTTGTAGCGCTATTGCTGTATTATAGCTCTGAGTTGTATTTTTGGGGTGAACCTGTCTTCCGTATCGAGTCTTTCTTTCCAGGATTGTCCCATTTTTACCAGGATCAGTTTGAGTGCAGCAGTTGCTCCCATCCTCTGCTAATTAAGCCCACTCCTATTTATTTCTATCTTTCCTTCATGTTTGGCAGGAATG